TCTCAGACGAAAAGATTAAAAGTAAATGAATCATCAGGTCCTGGTGAACTGTTCTCAGGAGTTATAAAGGAATGGAAGAATGCTTTCTAATTGGACAAGTATTTTCTGGTTTAGAAAGACACGTAAGCAAACACTATAACATATTTATTAGAAAACGTTTCGGTCCTGGAACCTTGAAGTATCACCGTCACCGACACTATAGAACGCAACACTGGAAACTACAAAATTTCAAAAACATTGGCATACATGATACTTAAGCAGCACCAACCCAACAACACAGGAGTCACGTGATTTCATCGTCTACCCTCGCCTCGCATGGGCCAGTAGGCCTTCTACAGTGTTCCTCCATTCTTATGTTCTTATGACATTCCTCAGGTCACGTGCGTCACATCTCACTCTCCGCCTATATATATAATGTCTTTCTACCTCTGTATGTTAGAAGTGATCAAGGTTCCAGGACCGAAACGTTTTCTAATAAATATGTTATAGTGTTTGCTTACGTGTCTTTCTAAACCAACTTGTCGGTATTTATTACCAAGGTTTATACCACAAGTATTTTCTAAACTCCACTATCCTCGTCACTTCATTAGAGACTGCAGAAGACAGGCATTAAAAATCCCATATAAAGAAATTAGATCTAATAGAAGTGACCCAAAATGGATGAATAATAGGCTCAAATATTTTATAGAAGAGAATTTATAGGCGTATCAAAAGAGGTGAAGGTCATCTTGTGAATCAGTATATTGACATTAAGAGGGACATTAAAAAGGGGATAAGAAAAGCTAAACGGGACTATGAAATTAAAGTTGCTAGGGATTCTAAAACTAACCCAAAAAGTTTTTTTCCAGGTTTATAGAACAAAAGTTAGAGATAAGATAAGTCCCCTTAAAAATAATATTTTACTGAATGAAATGTGCTCGATTTTAAATAATTATTTTCTCTCGCTTTTTACACAGGAAGACACTAACAATATCCCAGTAATTAATTTTTATAGTGGACCTGAAGAAGATAAATTATGTAAAGTATGATGCTTTCCAGGGCATAGTTCTAGCTGCTCAGTCAAATTATGTTCCAAATAGGGAAATCAGATCAAACAAAAATGATCCTAAATGGATGAACAATAGATTAAAATATCTGATTGGTCAAAAGAGAGGCATATATAGGCAAATCAAAAGAGGAGAGGGGCAATTGAGAAATCGATATATTCAGTTAAAGAGAGAAATAAAAAAGGGAATTAGAAAAGCAAAAAGAGATTATGAGGTTAAAGTTGCAAGAGAATCGAAGACTAACCCAAAAGGATTCTTTCAGGTATACAGAAGTAAGATCAGGGACAAGATAGGCCCACTCAAAAGTTCCTCGGGTCAGCTCACTGACAGTGATAAGGAAATGTGTAGAATTTTTAACACATACTTCCTCTCAGTTTTTACACAGGAGGATACCAGCGATATTCCAGTAATGATAAATTATGTAAACAGGACGTTTAAAAACTGTGCACTATTAGGGTCCAAGTGACATGGTCCTTGGGCAAATAGATAAATTAAAACCTAACAAAATCCCCAGGCCCTAAATGAACTGTATGCAAGGGTTCTAAAGGAATGTAAAGAGGAGCTTAGCACACCTTTGCTAATCTTTTCAACATATCACTACAAACGGCATGGTGCCAGATAAGTGGAAAATGGCAAATGTGATACCTATTTTCAAAACAGGTGACGGGCCCCTTAGCTTCAAAACTATAGACCAATAAGCCAAACCTCCTAGTGGGAAAATTTATGGAATCAATAATTGCCGAGGCAGTTCGTAGCCACCTTGAAAGCATAAATTAAATCAACGAATCTCAGCATGGTTTTACAAAGGGGCGTTCCTGTCTTACGAATTTATTAACTTTTTTCACTAAGGTATTTGAGGAGGGAGATCATGGTAAGAATATGATATTGTGTATATGGACTTCAGTAAGGCTTTTGACAGGGTCCCCACATCAGAGACTATTGAGGAAAAAATTAAAGCACATGGAATAGGGGGAGAAATTTTTTCCTGGATAGAGGGATGGTTGACAAATAGCAGCAGAGGGGTTTGCATAAATGGGAGAAATCAGAGTGGGGAAGCGTCATGAGCGGTGTTCCACAGGGTCAGTGTTGGCCCCTTGCTGTTCACAATCTACATAAACGACATAGATGAGGGCATAAAGAGCGACATCGGCAAGTTTGCCGATGACACCAAAATAGGCCGTCGAATTCATTCTGACGAGGACATTCGAGCACTCCAGGAAGATTTGAATAGACTGATGCAGTGGTCGGAGAAGTGGCAGATGCAGTTTAATATAGACAAATACAAAGTTCTAAATGTTGGACAGGACAATAACCATGCCACATATAAACTAAATAATGTAGATCTTAATATTACGGATTGCGAAAAAGATTTAGGAGTTCTGGTTAGCAGTAATCTGAAACCAAGACAACAGTGCATAAGTGTTCGCAATAAGCTAATAGAATCCTTGGCTTCATATCAAGAAGCATAAATAATAGGAGTCCTCAGGTTGTTCTTCAACTCTATACATCCTTGGTTAGGCCTCATTTAGATTATGCTGCACAGTTTTGGTCACCGTATTACAGAATGGATATAAATTCTCTGGAAAATGTACAAAGGAGGATGACAAAGTTGATCCCATGTATCAGAAACCTTCCTATGAGGATAGACTAAGGGCCCTGAAACTGCACTCTCTAGAAAGACGTAGAATTAGGGGGGATATGATTGAGGTGTATAAATGGAAGACAGGAATAAATAAAAGGGGATGTAAATAGTGTGCTGAAAATATCTAGCCTAGACAGGACTCGCAGCAATGGTTTTAAGTTGGAAAAATTCAGATTCAGGAAGGATATAGGAAAGTACTGGTTTGGTAATAGAGTTGTGGATGAGTGGAACAAACTCCCAAATACCGTTATAGAGGCCAGAACGTTGTGTAGCTTTAAAAATAGGTTGGATAAATACATGAGTAGATGTGGGTGGGTGTGAGTTAGACCTGATAGCTTGTGCTACCAGGTCGGTTGCCGTGTTCCTCCCTTAAGTCAATGTGACCTGACCTGACTAGGTTGGGTGCATTGGCTTAAGCCGGTAGGAGACTTGGACCTGCCTCGCATGGGCCAGTAGGCCTTCTGCAGTGTTCCTTCGTTCTTATGTTCTTATGTTCTTAAGTGCAACTCCAGGAGCTTTGTCTCCTGGAGAGCGAAACGTTGCCACAATAAAATGTCACATTAGTTGCACTTGCGTCCTTTTACTTTACATATTGTCGGTAATTCTACCAACATTATTTCAGTCATGTACCTGGAGTTTACCTGGAGAGAGTTCCGGGGGTCAACGCCCCCGCGGCCCGGTCTGTGACCAGGCCTCCTGGTGGATCAGAGCCTGATCAACCAGGCTGTTACTGCTGGCTGCACGCAAACCAACGTACGAGCCACAGCCCGGCTGGTCAGGAACCGACTTTAGGTGCTTGTCCAGTGCCAGCTTGAAGACTGCCAGGGGTCTGTTGGTAATCCCCCTTATGTATGCTGGGAGGCAATTGAACATTCTCGGGCCCCTGACACTTATTGTATGGTCTCTTAACGTGCTAGTGGCACCCCTGCTTTTCATTGGGGGGATGGTGCATCGTCTGCCAAGTCTTTTGCTTTCGTAGTGAGTGATTTTCGTGTGGTCAAGTTCGGTACTAGTCCCTCTAGGATTTTCCAGGTGTATATAATCATGTATCTCTCCCGCCTGCGTTCCAGGGAATACAGGTTTAGGAACCTCAAGCGCTCCCAGTAATTGAGGTGTTTTATCTCCGTTATGCGCGCCGTGAAGGTTCTCTGTACATTTTCTAGGTCAGCAATTTCACCTGCCTTGAAAGGTGCTGTTAGTGTGCAGCAATATTCCAGCCTAGATAGAAAAAGTGACCTGAAGAGTGTCATCATGGGCTTGGCATCCCTAGTTTTGAAGGTTCTCATTATCCATCCTGTCATTTTTCTAGCAGATGCGATTGATACAATGTTATGGTCCTTGAAGGTGAGATCCTCTGACATGATCACTCTAGGTGAGAATCTTGGCGTAACTTGAAAAATAGGTTAGACAAATACATGAGTGGGTGCGATGTGAACATGCCTAGCATGGGCCAGTAGGCCTGCAGCAGTGTTCCTCATTTCTTATGTTGCCACGGGAAGGAGCACTGCAGGAGGGCTACAGGCCCACCCCAGCCATACAATTCATATACGTACTCTGTTCTAGGACTGAAGCCTTAACTCGGTCCAAACCGTTATTCTAGTTAATGTATTATGTATACCTGAATATATAAAATTAAGGAAGGTAGCAGGATGGAAGCACGTCCATTGAAGGGGTTGTATGCACCAGCCTGACCTATTTCAGGTGACCCCAGCAAGGGGCTCCACCATGGCTTCAACCTGCTCTCTTGCTGTATCCTTCACAAACAAACGATTATCTTCCAGTTCTGCACAGTGTGTTATCCTCTGGTCACACTTCGTTCTTGTCATCATCCACGTACTTTGTTCTAGCTTTATAAATGAAGGAATTAAGGTTGAATGTATGTTAGGTAATATAGGAAAATTCTGTGGGGCTACCTGGTACTGCTCCAGTACCAACCTTCAGCTACTGGATCATGGGATATACTTAGTATCTTCTGAGGATTACCTATGGTATTAGAGTTTAGTATTTATCGAGTAAAGAGAATTTTATGTGTTGAACAGCATGAGTGATGAAAAGTAACGTTACTCGGCTACACTTGAAGATCGATACTCAGGCTAAGGTTAGCTCGGAAAGGTTGGTGTTTCGCCATAGTTGCCTCAGGGGGAAAATTGTGAGTAAAATTTGCGGGTGGAAAGTATAGTAAATTCGTGTAATGTAAGAGTGTACATTATATAGTCTAACGTTGTATGTGAGGTTGAATATTGGGTAGTGTGAGAAGAGAAACCGGTTATAAGTGGGTGGAGGGGGGTGTGGTAAGCAAGTAGGTAAGTGACGTGTTAGTGAGGGAGGGAGGATGGTGGCCGCCGCTGCGCCGACTCTCGCCGGCTCAGGTTGTCGTGAGGTGCGCTTCGTCGAGAACGGACGTGCCGCTGTGCCCTTTAGTGTCGACCAACGAACACTTTACACACTGTGAAGAATGTGCTTGTAGCGAAAACCGTCACAAGTCCAAGAGGGCACCCTAGAGCGAGTGAACGAGTGTACAAAGTGAAGGTAGCCTAGTGGCCTGTACATAAGTGTACATAGTGATTGTTGGCGCTGGTGGTGAGCCAGCGTACACTGTTGTACGTGGATACTGTGTATCCTCTGTTGCCGTCCTCAGCAGCGCCCACGCCCGTCACTCCAGCAGCCATGGCCGATGTAAGTAGCCGCCCACCATCACCCCTCCAGAGGAAGCCGTGGGCGGGCCGCCCACCGCCCGCGCCCCGCTCGTCTGCTAGGTTCTGTACTCTTGACAGTAATTTTAATATAGGTATCAGTAAGTATGGTGGCATTGATTTGGGTGGTGCCACCCCACAACCTGCAATCAATACTAGAACTGCCACCACTGCCTGCAACCTGCACGCCCACACGGCACCGTACAGAGCCGTGCTATGCTCTGGCTCCCAGTGGTGCCGTGCTATGCTTTGGCCCTGTGGTGCCGTGCTATGCTCTGGCTCTGTGGTGCCGTGCTATGCTCTGGCTCTGTGGTGCCGTGCTATGCTCTGGCTCTGGTGCCGTGCTATGTTCTGGCTCTGGTGCCGTGCTGTGCTCTGGCTCTGTGGTGCCGTGTTGTGCTCTGGCTCCCAGTGGTGACGTGCTGTGTTCTGGCTCTGTGGTGCCGTGCTATGCTCTAGCCCTGTGGTGCCGTGCTATGCTCTGGCTCTGTGGTGCCGTGCTATGCTCTGGCTCTGTGGTGCCGTGCTATGCTCTGGCTCGCAGTGGTGCGGTGCTATGCTTTGGCCCTGTGGTGCCGTGCTTTGCACTGGCTCTGGTGCCGTGCTATGCTCTGGCTTCCATTGGTGCCGTGCTATGCTCTGGCTCCCAGTGGTGCCGTGCTATGCTCTGGCTCCCTGTGATGCCGTGATATGCTCTGGCTCTCGTGCCGTGCTATGCTCTGGCTCTGGTGCCGTGCTATGCTTTGGCTCTGGTGCCGTGCTGTGCTTGGCCCTGTGGTGCCGTGCTGTGCTCTGGCTCCCAGTGGTGCCGTGCTATGCTCTGGCTCCCAGTGGTGGTTCTATGCTCTGGCTCTGTGGTACCGTGCTATGCTCTGGCTCCCAGTGGTGCCGTGCTATGCTCTGGCTCCCAGTGGTGCCGTGCTATGCACTGGCTCTGTGGTGCTGTGCTATGTTCTGGCCCTGTGGTACCGTGCTGTGCTCTGGCTCTGTGGTGCCGTGCTATGCTCTGGCTTCCAGTGGTGCCGTGCTATGCTCTGGCTCCCAGTGATGCCGTGCTATGCTCTGGCTCCCAGTGGTGCCGTGCTATGCTCTGGCTCTGGTGCCGTGCTATGCTCTGGCTCCCTGTGATGCCGTGCTATGCTCTGGCTCTCGTGCCGTGCTATGCTCTGGCTCTGGTGCCGTGCTATGCTCTGGCTCTGGCGCCGTGCTATGCTCTGGCTCTGTGGTGCTGTGCTATGCTCTGGCTCCCAGTGGTGCCGTGCTATGCTTTGGCCCTGTGGTGCGCGTGCTTTGGGGCCTGCTGTGCTCTGGCTCCCAGTGGTGCCGTGCTATGCTCTGGCTCCCAGTGGTGCCGTGCTATGCTCTGGCTCTGTGGTACCGTGCTATGCTCTGGCTCCCAGTGGTGCCGTGCTATGCTCTGTGGTGCCGTGCTATGCTCTGGCTCCCAGTGGTGCCGTGCTATGCTCTGTGGTGCCGTGCTATGCTCTGTGGTGCCGTGCTATGCTCTGGCTCCCAGTGGTGCCGTGCTATGCACTGGCTCTGTGGTGCTGTGCTATGTTCTGGCCCTGTGGTACCGTGCTGTGCTCTGGCTCTGTGGTGCTGTGCTATGCTCTGGCTTCCCAGTGGTGCCGTGCTATGCTTGGCTGTGGTGCTCCGTGTGGGTTGCCGTGCTGTGCTCTGGCTCCCAGTGGTGCCGTGCTACTCTGGTCTTCTGTGCTCTGGTTGCTGGTGCTTATGCTCTGGCTCCCGTGATGCCTGCTATGCTCTGGCTCTGTGGCCGTGCTATGCTCTGGCTGTGGTGCCGTGCTATGCTCCGGCTCTGGGTGCCGTGCTGTGCTCTGGCTCGTGGTGCCATGCTATGCTCTGGCTCCCAGTGGTGCCGTGCTATGCTCTGGCACCGTGCTGTGCTCTGGCTCTGTGGTGCCGTGCTGTGTCTCTGTGGTCCATGCTATGCTCTGGCTCCCAGTGGTGCCGTGCTATGCTACTGGCACTGCTATGCTCTGTGCTATGTTCGGCGCCTGTGGTACCGTGCTTGCTCTGGCTCCTGGGGGTGCATGCTGCTCTTGTGCTGGCATTCCGTGGGTCCGTGCTGTGCTCTGGCTCCGTGGTGCCGTGCTATGCTCTGGTTTGGTGCCGTGCTATGCTCTGGCTCCCAGTGGTGCCGTGCTATGCTCTGTGGTGCCGTGCTATGCTCTGGCTCCCAGTGGTGCCGTGCTATGCACTGGCTCTGTGGTGCCGTGCTATTGGCCTAGTGCTTCCAGTGGTGCCGTGCTATGCTCTGGCTTCCAGTGGTGCCGTGCTATGCTCTGGCTCCCAGTGGTGCCGTGCTATGCTCTGGCTCTGGTGCCGTGCTATGCTCTGGCTCTGTGGTGCCGTGCTATGCTCTGGCCCTGTGGTGCCGTGCTATGCTCTGGCCCTGTGGTGCCGTGCTGTGCTCTGGCTCAGTGGTGCCGTGCTATGCTCTGGCTCCCAGTGGTGCCGTGCTATGCTCTGGCTCTGTGGTACCGTGCTATGCTCTGGCTCCCAGTGGTGCCGTGCTATGCTCTGGCTCTGTGGTACCGTGCTATGCTCTGGCTCCCAGTGGTGCCGTGCTATTCTCTGGCTCCCAGTGGTGCCGTGCTATTCTCTGGCTCCCAGTGGTGCCGTGCTATGCTCTGGCTCCCAGTGGTGCCGTGCTATGCTCTGGCTCCCTGTGATGCCGTGCTATGCTCTGGCTCTGTGGTGCCGTGCTATGCTCTGGCTCTGTGGTGCCGTGCTATGCTCTGGCTGTGGTGCCGTGCTATGCTCTGGCTCTGTGGTGCTGTGCTATGCTCTGGTTCCCAGTGGTGCTGTGCTATACTCTGGCTCTGTCGTGCCGTGCTATGCTCTGGCTCTGTCGTGCCGTGCTATGCTCTGGCTCTGTCGTGCCGTGCTATGCTCTGGCTCTGCCGTGCCGTGCTATGCTCTGGCTCTCAGGTGCCGTTCTATGCTCTGGCTCTCAGGTGCCGTGCTATGCTCTGGCTCTGTCGTGCCGTGCTATGCTCTGGCTCTGTCGTGCCGTGCTCTTTATCAGTTATTTTTAACTGCTGTTCTGTGATGCCGAGTCCCCTGGCTCTGGCTCCCTGAGATGCCGATTCCCCTGGCTCTGGCTCCCTGAGATGCCGATTCCCCTGGCTCTGGCTCCCTGAGATGCCGAGTCCCCTGGCTCTGGCTCCCTGAGATGCCGAGTCCCCTGGCTCTGACTCCCTGAGATGCCGAGTCCCCTGGCTCTGGCTCCCTGAGATGCCGAGTCCCCTGGCTCTGGCTCCCTGAGATGCCGAGTCCCCTAGCTCTGGATCCCTGAGATGCCGAGTCCCCTGGCTCTGGGTCCCTGAGATGCCGAGTCCCCTAGCTCTGGGTCCCTGAGATGCCGAGTCTCCTGGCTCTGGCTCCCTGAGATGCCGAGTCTCCTGGCTCTGGCTCCCTGAGTTGCCGAGTCCCCTGGCTCTGGCTCCCAGAGACGCCGAGTTCCTTTGGCTTCCTGAGATGCAGAGTCCTCTGGCTCCCTTAGATGCCGAGTCCCCTAGCTCTGGCTTCCTGAGATGCCGAGTCCCCTAGCTCTGGCTTCCTGAGATGCCGAGTCCCCTAGCTCTGGCTTCCTGAGATGCCGAGTCCCCTAGCTCTGGCTCCCTGAGATGCCGAGTCCCTAGCTCTGGCTCCCTGAGATGCCGAGTCCCCTAGCTCTGGCTCCCTGAGATGCCGAGTCCCTAGCTCTGGCTCCCTGAGATGCCGAGTCCCCTAGCGTCTGGCTCCCTGAGATGCCGAGTTCCCTAGCGCTGGCTCCCTGAGATGCCGAGTTCCCTAACTCTAGCTTCCTGAGATGCCGAACCTTTGGCCCTGGCTCGCTCAGATGCCGAGTCCCCTGGCTTTGGCTCCCTGAGATGCCGAGTCTCCTGGCTCTAGTTTCCTGAGATGTCGAGTCACCCTGGCTCTGGCTCCATGAGATGCCGAGTTCCCTGGTCATGGATGGCTTCATTCGATGCCGAGTTCGCTGGCCATGGTTCCCTGAGATGCCGAGCCCTTGGGCTCTGGCTCGGGCTCTAATGCCGTGTTCCCCGGCCTGGGTCCTCATGATGTGTTCCCTGTTTCGCCTCTCCGTGGTGCCATGCCTCCCGGCTTTGGCTGTCTGGTGCCGTGCCTCCCGACTCTGGCTCTGTGGTGCCGTGCCCCCCGGCTCCGGCTCCCTGTAATATCGTGCCTGCCGGCTCCCTGTAGTATCGTGCCTCCCGGCACTTGCTTTGTGGTTTCATGCCTCCCGGCACTAGCTCTGTGGTATCGTGCCTCCCGGCACTAGCTCTGTGGTATCGTGCCTCCCGGCTCTGGTTCCCAGTATTTAACAAGTTAATGGATTTATGAAGTTACTGTTTAGTGAGTGGCTGAATGTCTGGCTTTATGATGTAAGGGAGACAAGCCTATGTGGTGCTTTAGTAGATTATTTTTGCACTGCCTGTTTGTTTCAGGTAGACTAATGATGTAAACTTTGCCCAAGTTATATAGTACCGACAAGATGGTGTATAAGACATGTCTAACACCTGAGTATCTTTAAGAGACGTTTAGCTACCATTAACTTGATGTAATTATTGTTATATAAAGGGTATGCAATACCGACAATTTGAGTAACGCTCATGTGCAATATTAGTCATCTTTAATGTAATTACACTGATAAAGCCTCAGGTGTTCTTATATTGTGTAGAAAAAACTCCCAAGTTACGTATATTTAGGCCAGAACGTTGTGTAGCTTTAAAAGGTGTTAGGATAAATACAATGAGTAAACTGTGGTGTGGGTGTGAGTTTTAGGAACCAATGCAGTTACATGTTAACAGTTACGGTTTGCCGTAGTTCACAACTCCTTAAGTCATTGCCCTGACCTGTTAGGTTGGTGTCTTTGGCTTAAGCCGTGTTGGAATGACTTGGACCTGCCTAGCTTATGGGCCATTATGGGCCTCTGCAGTGTTCCTTCGTTCT